AATCAACATTTCCCATGACGGATGCCCAAGACCAGGATGGTGCCTGGTATGTCTGGTATCGTTCCTGCCTACCAGTGTAAGCTGACCATAGCAGATCTTGCACAAGAGAACGTCTCCATAAACCAGCAAGATAGTCCGTGGCCGGGCAACCCATATATTGTTGGACCACCTGGGCTAAGCCGGCAAGAGCAACAAGCTTGTCCGATTCGTTGGTCAACAGACATTCGGAGTACTTGGATACAATCCCTAGCCAGCAGCCGTGCAGCGTTGATTGGTCTCTCGACTCTGGCGTCAACCGTTTAAAGGCGATAGACGCATTGCTCTCGCCCATCTGTTCATACGGCAGTCCCGCTGACCAAGTCTCATTGGCTCGAAGATGATGACATTCCCAGTATACCTGATCGGCTGCAAAGTGAAGAATTCGAGGCGATAGTAATCGTTCCTGTAAGACCCAGGCTCGGTGATTCAAGACGGCATTGTCAATACGTACCCGATACGCTTCATCATCCAATGCCGCATACTGGCCGACCGAGAATCCAGCTGTCCAGCGGGCTTTCACCGTAAATGCTCGGGTAAGGAGCGGGTTACTCGCAGAGAACAATCCACCATCTCCATCTGGAGAACATGTAGCTGCAAGGTTCAACACGGCATTCGAAAATATCGAAGCCATGGACAACGCTTCTTCAAGCCAATCGGTAAATTTGTCTTGATTGATACAGAACGCATCGATCCAAAGATATTCAACACCAAGAGCTTGGGTATAGCTGACGGCATCCCGAAAGGTGTTTGTCAATGCGTCCCAAGGAATGTTTCTGCGATAGATAGCTTCGTTTTCATTTCGAAGCGCCGGTATTCTTGTCACACCCCAGCAATGACTCAGGGTCATATACTCCGCTTCTTCTGGAAGACTAGACCCATCTACTATCTTCAGTAGTGGATGTGAGGATGTTTGAGACTGTATGTTGATGAGCTTTGAGGGCTTCCGTAATGGCAAATAAGATACCGCTTGGCATTCGGTGTGTGACCCCCTACACTGGCGGACCCATGCATCAACCTCGGGTAATGTACGCTTTTGAACGTCGGAAAGGATGCTTTCGGGGGCTTCAGAACCAGCGTATGCTCGAAGTCAACTCTCTTGAAAGCGCATCAAATGCTTTCCAAACTTACCAAGGATCGGAATCAAGTAGAGAGAAATCCAGCAAGGACGGATCCCTTTCTTGGAAACATCTCCGTCGAGGAAGTATTTCACGTCTAGGCGTAAGGGACCAGAAGAATCTTCGCTTTCTCTGTGTGGCAGGATTGTAGCAATACCAAACATCTTCTGTGGATTCTCCTTTGCAAATTTCCAAGTCTCATGGTATTTACCCGCTCCAGTAGTATGAAATATAGGTAGTTGATCTAGTATCAAGTTGCAAAGATGGCATCCATTGCCGGCGGAGATCTTCAATTCAGATATATTGTAATGTCTGAAATTAGCAGACTGGACAGACTGGTCATCGCGGTGCTGCCACATTCGTCCTTGTTGTTGTCTCGCTGGCCTCGCCGGCAGCACTGGTGCACTACCGTGAGATTCAAAGGTCTGGATACTTGAGTCGTCGTCGACGGTGGCTGCAGCTTTGCCACGAGACTGACTCATGTCATTCTCGATTTCGCCACCAGTACTCACGATCCGATGGTCCCACTGACCACTAAATAACCTGGTACAAATATCACACAGCTGGCATTTCCCAGCAGATGCCATGCCTATCGCGATTGTAGATGCTCATTCAAGCTCAAAGCGACGTAAACAAACCAAATGACGGAAATGACGGCATCGCAAGATGAGCATGAGGCGTGTATCCGTCGGCGGATCGATCATTGGTTGAGGGATCGAGACATCGACCTCCTTATCCTCCTTTGGCCACAAGTGTCTGTACACAAAATTCGACGTTCAATGTTGAGTGGTGAAGAGTCAGGTACTCCGTACAGTATGTAGTAGTCGGTAGTGTAACCTGTTATGGGCTAGTGATCCTTATCGATAAGGACCGAAATCTTGGCTGAGAAATTACTTTTTTTGTCCGGGGTTCTTTGCCGCAAGAAGATAGATTTCTTTCCAATAGACGCCGAACATGGCGCCCTCACAGCTCAAACAGCTGAAAGCTTCCCTACGCGAGCATGGTATCCGTGGTCCTCAAAAATCCAAAAAAGAACGACAGGCCACAGCTAAGGATGCACAGAAGCGGAATCAGCGCCATGCAGCCCTCGAAAGCATCCGGGAACGATTCAATGCCTTCGAGGTCAAGGGTCCGAGGAGGGAGAAGTTCGAGGTTGCAAGTGCAAAGAAATCACAAGCATCATCAGTACGTCCTGGTGTCACACGAGGCTTGGGTGAAGAGAGAAGACGAGAAACATTATTGAAAGAGATGCAAAGCCGGAACAAAGTCGGAGGCCTACTCGATCGACGGTTCGGAGAGAACGATCCTACCATGACGCCTGAAGAACGAGCCGCCGAAAGATTTGCCCGTCAAAACGAGCGAAAGTTAAGAAAGACGTCAATGTTCAATCTAGAGGACGACAGCGAGGAAGAGATGACACTTACACATGGTGGAAGATCACTAGACTTTGGTGGCGATATCCAAGATGATTTTGACGAGGGTGATGTTGCTGCATCAGATGATAATGTCGACGATTTCGAGGCGCAGAATGATAGACCAAGGAAGAAGCTGCGGCTTGAGGATTCCCTCGATGACGGAAGTGAGGAAGATGGAGAGATGCCAGAGCGAAGAAAAACCAAGAATGAAGTCATGAAAGAAATAATCGCCAAGTCAAAAATGTACAAAGCAGAACGACAAGCGGCCAAGGCAGACGACGATGATTTACGAGCCGAGTTGGACAAAGGAATGGCCGACTTTTACGAGGCGCTTCGTGGACATAAACCACCCGAGAAGCAGCCAGTCACGGCGCAAGCCACCGAAGCGTCCGAACCACACATGGACCCCGCTCGAGCTGCCATGCTCGCAGGTAAGAGCAGGGTAGATGCAGAGAAGGAGTACGAGGCGAATCTTCGCGAGCTGAAACTTGAGGCTCGCTCTAAACCTAGTGTTCGGACAAAGACAGACGAAGAGAAGGCTGCCGAGGAAGCTGCAAGGCTTGAAGAATTAGAAAGGAAACGTGTGCGACGTATGAAAGGCGAAGCAGAGAGCTCAGACGACGAAGACGAGGCCGAGCTTGGTCCAGATGAGGATTTCGAGGAAGATGATGCAGAAGCCTTTGGTCTGGCTGCCCCTGAAGCCGCTCCTAGGCAAGAATTAGATGTAGAGGACGAAGACGAGTTTGTCCTCGACGATGACTTGCTCGCCTCTGATTCCGAAGCGGAGATGGCCAGTGATCAGGACGAAGATGATGACAAATCTGAAGATGAGCCTGAAGATGATGGCGACGACGACTTCATAAATGGTCTTGCCCTACCACAACTGCCGAAGTTGAAGACGCAGTCGACAGGGAACGTGGCCGCCAGCAACAACCTTGCCTATACGTTTCCCTGCCCGCAAACCCACGACGAATTTTTAGAGGTAACAAAGGATGCCGAGTTCTCTGATCTACCAACCATCGTCCAGAGAATCCGTGCTCTTTACCACAAAGGCCTTGCCCAAGGGAATCAGCAGAAGCTGGATGTGTTTGCGGGAGTCTTGTCACAGCACGTGGCGTATCTCGCCGATAACAAGGGCGACGTGCCTTTTTCAGTGTTGGAAAGTTTACTACGGCATCTACATTCTATGGCGAAAGCCTCACCAGAGGCAGTCGGCATTGCGTTCCGGACACATCTCGAAAGCATCGCCGAAGATCGAGCACTCAAGTTATCTCCAGGAGATTTGATCATCCTGACTGGTATCTCGACCATTTTTCCTACTTCTGATCACTTTCACTCTGTGGTGACCCCAGCCATGCTGACCCTTGGCCGGTACCTGGGTCAAAGCACAATCCAAAATGTACAGGATCTTGGAACCGGAGCATACTGCTGCTCACTTTCTCTCCGTTACCAGCGACTGGCAAGGAGACATATACCCGAAGTGGTTACGTACATCGTCAATGCTTTGGCTGCTCTGGCGCCTGTCCCACTCCCCGAGGAGGACAAGGAAGGACAACCACTGAATATCCCAGCCAGACTACCACGTGTACCTCTGCGAATCAACTCCCACGGAGATGTCCCTGAAAAATTGGCCTTCAAGGAGCTTGTGATGAATGCAGAGGCCCAAGATGATTCTTCGAAGCGGACGGCTCTCTTGCATACATTCATTCGCATCTGCGCACAGTCTGCCGAGCTATGGAAACAGAAGACCGCCTTTCCAGAGCTGATCTCTCCTTACATACAAGCCCTTAGCCACATCGTCTCCCACCCTAGCAAGCTTCCTAAGCGATCCATCGCTCTTACTTCAAGCACATTACAAAATCTACGGTCTCTCCGGACGGCATCGATCGAGGCACGGAAACCTCTGCTTCTTCACAACCACCGACCCTTGGCAATCAAGACCGCTATTCCAGCCTTTATCGAGAACTACAACCCAGATCGCCACTATGATCCTGACAGACAACGCGCTGAGCTTTCGAAACTCAAGGCAGAGCACAAGAAGGAACGAAAGGGAGCGATGCGTGAGCTGCGCAAGGATGCTAATTTCATGGCCCGAGAGCAGCTCAGAGAGAAGAAGGAGAAGGATGCTGCGTATGATAAGAAATTCAAGAGGTTGGTCGCTGAGATCCAGGGTGAGGAAGGCCGAGAGCAAAAGGGTTACGATAGAGAGAAGAAAAAGAGACAGGGACGATTCTAGTCTACAGTGGGCGTGTTTAGTATATAGCATTCTTCAGAGTAGCTCTTCATCATGGCTAAAATTGCTTTGACGGCTGTGAATGAGTGATAAATATAGCCCTCCTACTCGTGTTTATGCACTGGTGGTCATCCCACGTATATGTGATCAGTACCATCCTGGCTTCAATACGTCCACCAGAACGAGCAAAAAAAAAGTTGGTCCTGGCGAGATTTGAACTCGCGACTTTCGCATATCTCGAAAGATTCATATAGCATGCAAGCATACAATATAAGAACGACACGCTAAACCTGCTGCGTCACAGGACCGATATCCTGACAACATCAAGGCGATCCGAAAGGAAACCCTTCCATCCTAACTTGTGCGTCAAAATTGTGAAAATTTTCTGGGGTTTTAATATATAACCCTATCAATAATCACGTGATGTCGAACTTTCATTCGTTCCCTGCCCTGAGATAACTACTTCTTCCAACATCAATATTAAATCCTGAATCCACAAAATGTAATGCTACAGACAAGGTGAGGTCTAGTGCAAGGGCAAGCTTCCCCTGTCATTTCTTTAGTTCTCTGGCTTAGTACCTATGAAACTCTATCGCTCCTTTTGACAGAAAGTGCTAGACGTTGCCAACGTTCAATCTCTTTCCCCGGCGAAATGGCGTCAAAGAACGATACGAGTGTCGAAGAAGACGAGGATGATTACATGAACATGACGTTTGAGGAGTCGGCCGCCTCGAAAAAGACAGAGACCTTAACTCAACGCAAGAAGCGACTAGCGAGAGAAGCCGAAATCAAAGGGCGACCGAAATCGAAGGCGGAACTGGCAGAGGAAGAGCGCAAGAAGAGAGACGCGGCGTTGAACTCTACAACGATGGACACAAGTAGCAAAGGTTTCAAGATGATGGCGGCCCTTGGGTACAAGCCCGGAACTGCGCTGGGTGTTTCTCGTGCAGCCGAGAGCGAAACCAAAGATGACCGTCTGCTCGAGCCTATAGGTCTTGAGATGAAGGACTCGCGCAGCGGTATCGGCGCGGATGCGGAGAAGAAGCGCAAGTTCCGGGAAGAAATGGAGGCGCATGCAGAGGTCGAGAAGAAGCAGAAGGTCGAAGCGGGAGATTTTCGAGAACGACAGCAGAAGGAGCGCGAGGAGAAGAGGATGGAAGGCCAGATGTGGGGTGCCATGAAGGTCTGTGAGAGACTCGAGGATGAGGATGAAGATGAAGATGCCAAAGACTCCTCTTCCGGTGAGAATGGCGACGCGGTCAAGCCCAGGCGAACTACAAAGCCATTGAAGAGTGTCAACGTCCTGTGGCGGACCTTGGTCAAACAAAGACTTATAAATGAACGGGATCGCAGGATGAGGTACGACCTGCAACAGTCTTTGTCAAGACGGCCAGACTACAATGACCCGGATGAGGAGAAGGAAGATGCCATGGCACTCGGGAGAAAGGCTGAGACGGAAGAAGTTGATGTAGACATCGATGAAGAAGACGAAGAACTCGATGAGTTTGCAACTCTGGAGGTCTCTGAAAGACTAACGAAACTCGTTTCATACCTCAGAGAAAGATGGAATTACTGTTTCTGGTGCAAGTTCAGATACCCCGACAAAGAAATGGAAGGGTGTCCTGGCTTGACCGAGGAGGATCATGATTGAATTATCCAGTCATGCTAGATGAGACATGAAATATCAGAAGTGTCTGCGCAATGATGTTATGTCAATGACGAACTGTCTTATTCTTTGTTACGTATATGATAGAAATAAGTAATGGTTTTATACCTACAAATTCCACCTACTGCTTGGGCAGTGATTTCTTCAGCCTCGTTCAGCCTCGCCATTTTCAATTAACCTCTTAATTGTCCATATTGCACCACCATCAACTCTACTTCCTTCCTTACCCAGTCCCATCAAAGTGACATCCACCATGTTACCACGAACATGTCGTTCTTCTCTTCCAATCGCTTCGTAGCAATTATTCTCATACTCGGACTCGGCACGATCTGTTACTCAGTCCCTGGTGTTCTACAACAAGTCAAAGATGCCGCCCGAGCACCAGAACCCGATCCCCCGCCTCCACGCAAACGCCTTCAAAAGGACTCCGAGAACTCTTTAAAGATCGACACCCTACGCACTCTAGCAGACGGATATAGTTACGAGTTGCGTAGTTCCGCTTTAAAAATCGTCAACAGTCGAACCGTTCATTCACGGGCCAAGGACCTCCTGCTCCGCGACTTGGCCAGCAAGGACTACGAGCGGCGCGACAAAGCGATCAACGCACTCTTGCTGTTGCTGAAACAGCAACATGCTCACAGCAGGAGGGGCAGCCTGCTCGCCGAGTTCGATCTCGCCAAACGCCTCAAGGCCACCGTGCAGGCCCTGATCAATGTCTTGCCGTTGCACGAAACCCCTGGCCAACAACCAGAACAGAAGAGTGGTGGTCTACTACCACAGTCGCCCATCTTACCTCCGAGTCGACCGGCTCAGGAAGAGTCGTTGTTGGTGGTTCTGAATTACATGCTCGCGGAAGAATCTTCGGGAAATGTAATGGACGAGCCGCCCATCTACTCGGCGCTCAACGCGGGACTCGTGACCAAGTGGCTGGTCAAATACCCTTTTCCTTGTGCCCTGCCGGAGAACCAAGGGTACAACTTCAAGCGATCGGACGTCGCGCGGCTCTTTGAGCGCTCCGCGTGGAAGAGCGATGACCATCTCATGGCCGGCATCATCTTCCAGGTCGTCCACCACCCACGGGGTCGCAAGCAGATGCGCGAGGCCGGTCTGCAGGCCAGCAGTTACAGGGAGAACCTCGTTAATGACGGCTGGAACAATTCTTACCTCACGGAACGCTGGGATCAAGACGATAGTAGTGATGATGATGACGACGACCGCGACGTCGTCATGGTGGGAGGGGAGGACACGGCAGGCCAAGTCAGAGACGACGTGACCGACTGGGACGGGATTGTACCGCCGCCCATTTCGGCTGCTGCAAGGCAACGGTCGGTCGAAAGAAGTCAGGAAGAAGAGCACCTGCGACGGAGACATCGGGAGGCGATCGTCGTTGCGGAGCGAGGGACCCCCTTGAGCAGGGAAAACATCCTCCAACGGGCGGACAGTAGGGATCTCAGGCCCATGAATGGTGTGAGTGAGGTCGAGGTAGATTTGAATGGGCTGTTGGGCCTGTCCGGGGATGATCAGGATGATTCGTCGAGCCCCCAGCAGTCTCCTACGACCGAGTCTAATGGGTCTCATTCGAATGAAGGATCCATCCACGATTCCACGACAGATACGGACAATACACACTCAGAGGATGGAAGCGATACATCTCCTGAGCAGGAATTCGAGTCATGAGGCATCAATCCAGTACCAACGGCAGTGTATAGGAGTGTTTAGGAAGCATTGATACGGGCGTAAGGATACAAAGGAGGAGCAAGGCGTTACGGCATATCGAGATACCCACACAATAGAAAGGATAGGCTCAAGTAGTCCCTAGTCACTCCTGTTCAAGTTGAGGAACAACACAATTCTTTTGGACGTTTGCATGGAATCTTGTTCTCAAAAGTTGATTGATTTTTAAATACAGCTTCTGACCACCCCTGAACCCTTCTTCGATAAGGGGGGCGGGCCTGGTCATGGCTGACTTTTCTAGATCCATTTGCATTTTTATTTTGCCTTGTTTGGAATCAAGCACCCATGGACCCAGAACTCTCATGCAATCATGCGGCATTTTCCATATTGGGTGTGCCATTGTATCACTGCGCTTCGTGTCTGCCAACTCCTTCCCCCACCAAACACGGCAAGACACACCACAACACATCACACACCACAAAGAACCATTCCATCCTTTCCCTCGTTTTCGTCTTCCTTTACTTCAATGGGATGAATCGTGAAGAGTGGGTGGCACCGATACCGGGTCTACCGTGCTTGACGGGCTTGTACGAGATGGAGAATTCACCCAGGTAGTGGCCGACCATCTCGGGCTTGATCTCGACCTGGTTGAACTCCTTGCCGCTGTAGATGCCGATGACGCTGCCAATCATCTCGGGCACGATGATCATGTCCCGAAGGTGAGTCTTGACGAGGTCAGGCTTCTCGTTGGGCTTCGCGTTTTGCTTGGCCTTGCGCAACTTCTTGATCAGTCCCATCGGGCGGCGCTTGAGGCCCCGGTTGAATCGACGGCGGGCTCGGGCATGGAGGATGTTGATGAGTTCGTTGGAAGGGATATCGAGGAGTCTATAATTTTTTTCCCGTGTTGGTTAATCTTCGTGATCTCACACAGAAAACAGAGAGGAGAGCTCCGGTGTCGTCGGTTGTCGTGCATAAAGACGCGGGAAAAAAAAGACGTACTGATCGAGATCAATGCCTCTGTATGAAAACTTGCGGAATGTTCTTCTCTTCTTGAGCTCAGCGGCCTCCTCGGCGTTCTGGTAGGAATCGCAAAACTTGTCAGTATGGTTGTCCATTGCAGCACCCCATGGACACAAAAGATATCAAAGACGTACGTATTCGGTGTCAGCCATGATTGCGGTGGACTGGCGCGTTCGCTTTTCGATGTGACTGTCGAAAAGCGAGGGTGTGTGGATTGGAATTTGTGCGGTGCAGTTAGTTGGTGGTCGGGTCAGTGTGTCGACGATTTGCAGCCCAGCGTCGAGATTCAGTCTCTGAGGCTTGGCACTGGCCTGCGGAATTTCATGTTTGTGGGAGTCCACCTGCCGCGCACGTGATACAAAATCTTGGCACGTACGGAGTACTGGTACCACCACCCCTCAAGGCTACAGATGTACAGGGTATTGAAGCCATGGTCGAATACTTCGTCGCGACGAATAGCGATTGAGACAAAACATTTTGAGATTTTCTACATAGTTGGGTGCAACAAGCTGGAGGAGTGAGAGTAGAATTGAGCACGGTTTACTCATTTGGGGTAGAGTATGAATTTAGCATGACGGAAGTACAATTTTGTTTCGGTTTGATATTGTCATTGATCGTCTAAAACCTAGGCGCCTCAATCTACGCACAGGAAGGGCTTTAACTCATGATAGCAAGAGGCCTTCTTGAACCATCCTGCTGCATCGCTTTCCCCGGGTGGAGCAATAAGTTGCCTTTGCATCCGTCACTGACCAGCCTCTGATGGATTGACAATGTGAGTTGGTGGGATTTCAAAACCGATAGTTGTTTAGTCGAAGAGACCGAAGCCCATGTCCTCGTCAGACTCCTCCTTCTCCTCTTCCTTCTCAGCTGGCTTCTCTTCCTCGGCGGCAGCGGCACCACCGGCGGCAGCACCACCAGCGGCAGGGGCAGCACCACCGGCACCACCAG